TAACAAGAATGAGACACAATGTCAGCATCCTTAAGTCAGATTTATTTAAGGTTAGGCTTTCAGATAACACTCAGTGTTCTTGTGGATATATTAATGAAAACACTGAACACTTCTTCCTGTACTGTAAAAATTATGCTGAAATTAGAACAGAATTATTTCACACCGTACAAAATAACAAAGGAGCAATAGACCTTGACCTAATTCTATTTGGGGACCCAAATTTGGGTCAACAAAATAATATCAACATTGTTAAAACCGTACATAATATATTAAAAAATCGAAAAGATTTTTATGAAGCGTAACCATTCTGTATCTTTTACAACCCCTCCTTCTTTCTTCGATTCTCTCCTTGCACTCCCATTCCCTTCCTTTCTTATTTCTCTGCACCCTTTTCTTCTTTCTTTTTTTTTTGTATTGTATAATTGTTGCTTGTACATCACGTGTATATAATTTTGTTTGTGTTGGAGAGGACAATCTAAGTTGGTATAACTTGTGTCCAATCCCATTGATTGTGTTCAATAAAATATGTTTAAATCAATGCTAGTAATATGGCAACTCGCGCCTTTGTCTCGTGGGTTACCACCATCTAGTTTTAAGAAATAAACCGAGTTCACTTCTAGTCGTCCTATATCGATAACTTGTATTTTCACTGAAACTTTAGAGGTTTTATTTGCTATTTCCGCAAAAAACAGCTGTCATTGGGGTTTTATATGAAAATGGAAGTGATTAACCATGCATCGGAAAGTGTCCGATGCATGGTTAATTTGTGTCCGATGTACGGTGAAATAAACACACTAGTAAAAAAAACAACTCTAAAAAATTTATATAAAGGTTGAAGTAAAACTTTTGAAGAATTTCTTAAAAATTATCAATCATTGACAAATTTTACTTAGGTCCCACTCGTTCCGTTGAAGTCTAATTATAAGAACGACAACTCTAAAAAATTGCAAAATCGTAAAATTCTGGTTACTCCCCTTTGATGATGCAAAATATGACGTAATTTCAAGGCCATTCTTGTGGTATTTTTTTCACAATATTAAAATAAATGTCGTCATCATTAAAAAGTTTAATCCTCACCTTCAAGACAAAAACAAGTAAAAACACTGGGAGACTCAGCTTTAATGACATTTTATTGCTTAAAGTTGTCCGATGCATGGTTAACTTACCCTACATGAAATATAAATTGTGTGTTTGTTTTTTAAACAAAAATAATTAGTTACAAAACCAATCTCATTGTAAAAATTATTACACTTTAGGTTTCTGTTATTCTGTCAGACTGATGCTTTTCTGACCTTAATTGCTGACATAATGATAATGCCCCTGAAACCGAACAAGTTGTTTCCTTTCATACTACACCTTTTTTTAAAACTATGAATTATGGCCACCATTATATTGATAATTTGAAAACTATTTCAAATAGGATAAAATAAATTATGACACCTTCAGAAATTTTCAGAATGTATTGAAAAAACTTAAAGAACATTTTCCTTTAGGAAATAAAGTGTAAAAGAATATTCCATTTTTCTGAAAGACAAAATAAAAAGTTTTGACACACAAGTACCCCTGAATGTAAACTTAAATTTACCGATATATCAAATAAAAAAAAAAACCATAAACATATACATGTATATGGATATAACAAATGATTAAACAAAAATACATGTATTAAAACAGTAAACACATTTTAAAACAAGAATCGCTCTTAGAATAATGTAATTTACTGGCGTATTGAATATATGGACGAGTAAATGTTATTTTGATATATGTGGACCAGTTTGAGAATACGTGCTAGACACGGACATATTATTATAATCTCGCAAAGGATATTGATCCTTTCAACCATTCACAGTAAACATTGAATCATCGGTGCATATTGCATAAGATTTTATTGTAAATTGTTTTGTACGAGGTATTTGGTAAAAATTTGAAGCTCGACACATTTCTTCTAACAGCTAAGAAAAGTATAATTTTTCTGAAGGCTTCGCAAATGTAGAAAAATACACAAGAATGACAATTATAAGACGAGATAATATGACTAGTATTAGACGAGATATTATAATATTCTACAATTAAAAACAAGAGAGACCAGATAGGGAATGTCATTGTATTAAAGTGTACATAGTTTTCTCTAAACATTTCAACTTATTTCATAGCTTATTATCCCTTGAATTCGATAATATTGATGTAAAATTTAAAAAATATATGTAGATATACAAGTAATATCTTCATTCAATATACAAATACGTATATATGAATTGGAGAATATAAAGTACAAATTATTACAATTTGAAATCCATATAAGTATAAATACTTTTATTTACAGAAGTAAAAACTTGGATTTACTATAATTAATTATAGTAACAACTTTGATACTACAGTAAACTATATTTATCTATAGTGAACAGTTATGGAACGGGGCTCGGGAAATAGCAAATCTATCTATGGTTCCCCGACGGAGGAAACTATTTCCCTAGCCGCTGGTTTTATTATACCGAAACAATCTGAAGGAGATTTAGTTAACCAAACACTCGGACATTTTTTTTTACAACGTGAAGAGTCAAATACATGTGACTAATTTTTTTTGGTATCTAGGAAAATAATAACATGTTTAAAAATAGTCATATCACTGATATTTTAAAGGATTACCATTCTCGTCATTTTGCTATTTGTTATATGCTTGCGTTAAATTTTAAGTTTTGTTCAAATAATTGATCATCAAAATCTGTCACCGTACGTTGTGTATTAAAAGTTTCCTGTTGGCTGACCGGGGACTGGTGGGGACACCTAATTAAGATCTATTGTCTAACCAGTCGATATACTGCACACTGTTTATTTTACCCTGCTTCCCAATGTGTATAAATCTGGTCGGATGTCATCTTTAATCTGATCGGCTGTACTTCTGAAAATTGATTTTGAAATAACAATCATTGAAGACCGACTATATTTTGTTAAATTCTTAGAAACCTCTACCCAAAGAAATATTAAGAGACTTGGAGATATATCATCTTCTTTCTTTTTTTCAAGAAAAAAATGACTTTATATTACAATATTTCCTATGAATTCAGCAGCGGAATGTAGTTCTCAACACATGAAAGAAAAATACAATGAGATTTAAAAAAAAAACAACAACAACAACAATATATATTATGTGTTTATGGGAAAAAAATTAAGAACAAGTATTTAAACAAACTGATTTTATAGTAGCGAAAATTTAAAAGCATATGCTGAAGCTGTTCTCAGTGCACGAGTTTATACGCATTGACAAAAATGTTAGAAATAGCGAGACAAAATTATGAATTGAATAAGATTTTGCGTAAATGATATTGAAACAACTTTAACTTAACAAGTTAGTTTGAAGACTTAATACAAAGGTGGTTTCATTTAGTTTGGACATTAAGCCACCATTAAGCTGCAGCTTAATGGTGGTCTAAAGGAATTAACTTCTATAAGCCACCATTAAGCGATTGCTTAAAGATGGTTTTTTCGTCCTGTGAATAGTAATGTGGAGTAATCCCAGGGAGTAGCTCTGAGTTTATAGGGAGTAGTCCTCGAATGGGGGAAGTAGTGCCTTGTTAGGTTTATGGTATAGATTTTATATAGAGTAATTATAACAGTAGAGGTATAGTAATAAACTATAGTTAACCATAGTTTTTTTTATTAGAAAAATACAGGATATTCAGTGTTTTGTAGCTGAATATGGAATTTATTTCACAAGTGGGACAAGATTTTTTAAAATATATATTCACGAGTGCGAAGCGGTCGTCAAATATTTTTATGCAGTGCATTTAGTCTTAATGGTGTCTTTCCTTGTTCCAAGTTTGAAATCCTAATGTCAAAAAAAAAGTTCTCACGTTATGACCTGGACTATATTTTCAGGTAAAAGATAGACCTTGACTTTATTAATAGGTCAAGGTGAAAAAATGTTGGCAGTCACCCTAGCTTCCTCTGTTCCAAGTTTGAAGTCATAATGTCAAAGGGTTCTTAAGTTATTGTCTAGTCGTGTTTTCTCAATTTGACCTTGATGAAGGGGTCAAGGTCAAAATTCTGGTGCAGTTGACTTCTTACTATGTTCCAAGTCTGAAATCCTAATATCAAAGGGTTCTCAGGTTATGGCTTGGACCCTATTTTGATGTTAAAGGTTAAATAAAAAAGTAATGGCCAAAAACGTCAGTCAGCATTCGACTTAATGATATACGGTATTTGCTGAAAAGGTCATTGTATCGACCATAGCGTGCTTCGTTTTAGATTGATTGATTGATTGATTGTATGTTGTTTTACGTCCCATTCGAGAGTTTTTCACTCATATAGAGACGTCACCATATATAGCACATGCTCTTGCATATCGAATCAACTGGGAGACATAAACCCTATATGCAGGTGATAAGGGTATTTTGCTACTTAATAAAAAATCACTATATAATCAATAGAGTCTGCCCTGACACCAGAAGATTATCAAAGAAATTATACACTTTCACTATATGATCAATAGAGCCCCTTCCCTCCCGCAGAACCCCTCACTCTGGGGCCAGAAATTTAACAATTTTGGAGGAACCCTTGATTATCATAACCATGCACCTAGTTTATTTGCTTTATATACATGTACATGAGAGAGAAGAAGATTTTCAAAGAAATATATGCATTTTCACTATATGAATGCTTTTTGAATGTTTAATTTTTCTAGGGCGTCTTTGAACTGGGCAATAATATTGAGTGACCGTGTATTCGCCACACCTGGCTTCATGACCATAAAACAATTAAATTCTCAGACAAAAATTGTTCTCAAGATTAAAGAGAAATAATAGAGTTGAGAATTTTCTCACTTTAGAAATTTCTTAACCCAATAAGACGCGCTTCGACGCACGCGCCGCTGTTTCCAAGGATTTTTACTAAGGAACATCGCACTTGCTGAGGGAACTCTTCAGATTTTTACGGTAAGAAAGTCATAGCAACAATAAACAAATATATTCGTCTGCTATAGCTCTCTATTTACATAAGCAAAAATGGCAAAAAGATCTGCCAACTGGACAGCGGATGAAGAGATTGTTTTGGTAGAAGAGGTGGGGAGGCGGAAGGAGTTATTATTTGGGAAAATGAAAGGGGATGGGTCTGTTAAAATTTGGGAAATTTTGGCTAAAGGATGGAAAGAAATTACAGATGTGTTAAATGCGTAAGTTGTATAAGTTGTGCATTTCAAAACATAATACTTGATAACATTAACGAAAAGGAACATATAAATATATTTTATGATATTCTTGTTACATGCTTCAACGAGTTCTTTTGGACTTGAAGTACGATTCTGGAAAACCCCTGAATTCAATTTTAGATAAATTAATTATAATAAAAAGGATTTATAGAATTACTTCCCTTTTCTTACAAAGCGAATGCTAGGGCCTATAATTTGTTTTAAAAAAAAACGAAAAACATTTTCATGAAAAAAATTGAAAATCTGCCGTGATTTTTTTTATACGTTCATTTATGCCCTGTTCACACGGAGAGTTTAATTCGCAGTAAATTAATGCGAAGTAAAATGATGCAAATTAAACTAATGCGAGTTAAATTGCGTTCACACGACAGTTAATGCGAAGTAAAGTGATGCGAATTATAATTTTATTTCTACAACAAGGCTATTCAGTGAGGCTATTATGACGTCAATTACAAATCACAGAGCAGATATACATAGTGATTGTACATATTTTAGTGATTAACATTATTTTCCTTTGTTTTGCACTCAAAAATAGTACAAGTACCTATATTTGACCATCGACATGTGGCGTGTGACTTAATTCTGCCCTTACGCATGCGTCAAGATTTAATTCGAATTAGCTTCCCTTAGCGTTCATATGGAGCTAATGCGGAGTAATTTAATGCGCAGTAAACTAATTCGAATTAAACTAATTCGCATTAAATTCTCCCTGTGAACTCGGATCAAATTTAATTCGCAGTAACTTACGTTTACCGGTAATTCGAATTAAACTCTCCGTGTGAACAGGCATTAGATACCTTTAATTCCTGAAAATCCTTAAAAGTTCTTCCAGGCTAGAATGTTTCGATCCAGTAGTCCGTTATGCTCAGTTCTGCATTAATTTTATGCAACACGCTTGCCATGACCTTATACTAACAAAACGAATGCTGTCGCACGTCATTCATGGGGTTCAAGAAGGGTATTTTTAAAATCAAGTTTTACTAGTCTTCGTCTCCGTTTTTCAGTGTCTGCATTTATACAGGCAACATAAAGTAAAACAAACATGAAATTGTTATAGTTAATCTAGCTACATATATTGTAGGGAAAAGTTTCTGTATATTAGAATGAAGTAATTTTTGTTACAGAAGATTCAGTTTAAAAAGAAGAGAAGAACAAGAGATAAAAAAGAAATACTACAACATCAAGCAACGCAGTAATTTAATTTATACCACATATTGATATTAAATTTAATTGTTTCAATAATATATACTAATTTCTACAAGAATTATTAAAAATATTTATTTAATGGAAGATAATATCATAGTGAGTGGAGTAGATGAAAAGGCGCCCGAGATTAAAAATCCAGAAAACCTTGCCAAGATCATTAGCAACGTGTTCACTGCAGAGATGGAGATACCAGCAGAGACTGTGGATAACCTACAGATCTATAAATTGTTCAGAATGGGTGAGTACGATAAACAACGAAAATATCCTAGGCCAATTTGTGTTCAATTTGCGAACAAATCACACAAAGATATCGTAATGAGGCACATTAAAATTCTTAAGGATAAGCAGTCACCAATAAGAGTGTCCCAACATCAACCGGAAGAAATCAGAGAAAAAAGGAAACACCTATATGATGTACAGAAACAATACGCGGACCGTAACATAGAGACCGTGTTGAAGGGTCAAAAACTCATTTTCACACAAAGCAAATCTGTGTATAGAGATAAAATTGGTAGCCGACCTATGGCCGATGAGATCATCAGTGGAGAAGAGGTAAAGATCGCGATCAGTACGAGGAAGACCACAGAAGATAATGGAAACCGGTTTGTTGCCCACTCAACGCCAGTAGATTCCTATAAACAGGTGAGGCGATCGCTTGTGGAAGTTATGCGTACAGAAAACACTGCCAGTGCAAGTCACAATATATATGCGTTCCGATTTTCCACTAGTGATGGCACAGCGCATGAGGGATCTGAAGATGACGGCGAGCACGGAGCCGGGAGAATGTTACTCAAAGCACTCGCTGATAATGATATAAATAACGCACTGGTGGTCGTCTCGCGGTGGTGTGGTAGTAAAATCGGACCCAGACGTTTCACACATATCAACGAGGTTGGGTTAAGTGCAGCAAGAAATATGCCAGTCCCCGTCTGACGCTAAAATCAAAATCATGAACAGTCACAGGTTAAATATATATTAATAGTAACTCACAGTTAACTCACAGTTAACAGTTGTGTACATTTTTTTTTTTTACTTTCATGGCAAATTTGTAATGCCTAAAATATTTATTTCAGTAGTTTTTCATAGGGTTATATTCATGCTGCATGTATATATTTATTTAAGTTTGTTTTTGATAAAATCAAAATCATGAACAGTCACAGGTTAAATATATATTAATAGTAACTCACAGTTAACAGTTGTGTACATTTTTTTTACTTTCATGGCAAATTTGTAATGCCTAAAATATTTATTTCAGTAGTTTTTCATAGGGTTATATTCATGCTACATGTATATATTTATTTAAGTTTGTGTTTGATATTTTCCGGAATTTGCTAGTTTATACATCGCAATTTTGGATTATTTTTAAAGTCTTGATTTCCGGTGTAGAAATCGTGCAACATGGATCATGTTTACTAGCTATTCCAGTTAACGCCATTTTAATCTTAAAATAGTAACAACCGGAAGGCACCTGGTAGCCATATCTGCATGCGTTTGTCGATGGGTCTTGGATCCTAGAAATAAATCGAGGTAAGTATTACTTGACGGACTTTGATGTTGATGACAGTGGTGCGTAAGGTGTTTTTATGTTGGGGTATAGTTTTTGGTTTGCAAGAAAGCTCTTAAAACCTGTTAATTGTTTTTAAATCAATTGAGAACAACAAAAATATGTGCACAAGAAAGGTCGTAGCTTTTGTATTTTCTATGATTCCTTGGCATTTATAGGAAGTAGCATGAATTTAGACATTTATAATGATTTTTTAAAGGCTATTGATTTTTATTGAAATGTAAAATGTTTTCTGTAACATTGCACATTTTTGCACGATTATTTTGAAAGTTGGTAGATTGGTCAACACAGGCATTTTCTGGGAATCAAATTACCTGCCCTTTATATAGTCCATTTCTTTATAGACTTCGGAAAACATATATTAATATAAAGACGTAAAAAGGCAAATTGGACATATAGGATATTTCATGATTTGTGGTTGGGTATGATTTTTTTAAGGCTCGGGGATAAAACACACAATGAGTTTGATAAAAAAATCACATGTAACCAAAAAACATGGGAGTTTGTTTTTATCACATGTTTCACACATAGCTTTTTTATGCGTTATACTGTATTATATATATGTAAATCCTTAATATTTGACTTGATCAAATTCATGCAAAAACCATTGTGATGTCACAACTGTGGATATGAAAATGATATCGTATGAGCAATGTCCACTGTATAAAGCAGTATTACAAGTGATAAAATGATTTTCTCATTAAAAACTTATATTATAATTTTTTTTTTGTCGTATTCTAGGACTTGAGAAATTACGAGTGACACAGTGACTGAATTTTTCCATAAAAGGTAAATATATCTCAATTTTTTTTAAGCATAATTTGCTTTTATGTATGTGTGATATTTTTATTTCATTTTTTGATTTTATTTTCTTTGGTTCACTGTCTTTGTCTTTTATGTTTAGTTTATTGTCCTCATCTTGTATATTTAGTTTATTGTCTTTGTTTTGTGCTTGTCTTCATTTTTTTTTTTTTTTCATTTCATTTTGCACAGCATTCATGGTAAAAATTCAGTTAACACTCACTTTTTTGCACATAATCATGGTTCTCACTTACTTAGGTGTTTACGAAATATATTTAAAACATAAAAACCGTGCAAATTTTATGAAATACTTACACCATGAAGTGTGTGACGAATTGAAAATTGAATATACAAAAGTTAACAGAGTAAGTCTCTTGTACAAAGTAAATCGAATAAAGACGGAAATAGATAAACTCAAGAAATACAGCAACAAAGACAAAATAAATTCATACTTAAACAATATCTTTCAATTACCCCAAACCAAAAACTCATTGATAAGTAATGGAAGTGGAGAGGAAGAGGAGAGTAAGGAAATTAGAAAAGAGGATTCATCAAAGGAACTGAGAGAAATGAAGGAAGAAGAACTTTTGAAGGAGAAACTCAAAATTATATCGGAGCAGAATATTGTGATTGAACACCTACGAAGAGAGAATACGGCTCTTAAAGACAAAATAAGAGCTTTTAATGTTAGAAATACAAACAGAAAATTAAAAAAAAAACAAGAAAATATAAAAAAATTAGAAAATGTTATTAAAAAAATGAAGACAAAAGAAAATGTTGAAAAAAAAGATAAAAGTGTACAGTGCAATACTATGAAAACAGTTATTGCAGACTTGAAGAAAGAAATAGATTTTTTAATGTCAGAAAAAGAAAGTAATTGTGATGATGATGATGTTGTACATATAAAAAAAAATATTGATTTTAGAGAGAATGGTAAAGGGAAACCGTACAATTTTAAATTAAGAAACTTATATTATAATTTTAGAAGTAGGAATATAGCTTTAGTACATATTGCCCCAATTATTAAATCTGTTTTAGATGTTTTTAATATCAGTGTAGAAAATCTACCATCAAAGAGTACGGCAGGTATTTTAACCAGTGAAATGGGCGTAGTTTCGAGAAATCATTTAAATGAAGAACTTAAGAACAGTGCAAATATCACAATGCATAGAGACGCAACTACGAAGAAAGGGAAGCATTATTATGGAGTTCAGTTTAATACTGGTGACAAAGTTCTGTCTGCAGGTTTAAGAGAGGTCTGTGATGGAAAGGGGGAGACATATGTAGATATTACAAAAGATATTTTAATAGATATATCACAGAAAGAGGGTGACAGTGATACTATTTTAAACAACGTCTCTTGTTTTATGACCGACAGAAGTGCTACTGAACAAAAAGTAAATGATATTTTAAGTAAAGATATAGATCATAATGTACATTCTTTTAAATGTTCTATTCACCCCCTCCTGCAGTTTTCAGATGTATGTATAGAAGAAATTTTTAATATTGAACAAGAGTTGTCTTTAAGATTTCCTGGGTATACCCATTCATTGAAAGAGCCTTTTACTTTGTGTCTTTTAAAATCTGTATCGAAATTATTTTTTAAAGATGGGACTGGTGATCCCAATGATATACAAGTTTATATGAAAAATCATAGTGTTTCAGACATTCCCTTTGTAAAGTTTAGAGGCAATCGTTTTAATGTTATGTTTTATAATGCTGCAGGTACTTTTTTTATGCACAAACTTGTATTACAGTATTTTTATTCTTTGAAAGCTTCTTACACTTTTAATCAGAATTTTATTTTATTATGTTTGCAGAACAAAACATTTTTAACTCTTTTAAGATCACTTGGCATTTTATGCAAAATTATCACAGGACCTTATTTTTTAAAAGCAACAGAAGTTGGAAACATTTTAGATATGGGTTCTGTATTTCAGAGACTTTTATATGTTTTAGATTTGTTTATTGAAAATCCAATTTTAGCTTTGAACAATGAAGTTTCACTTTTTTATGGTCCATATTTTTATGACGAGGTTTTTGAATTTTTATTGAAAACTTCACTGAATGACAATCTTACATGTGTTTTTATAAAGCGTCTTTGTAATGTTTTAAAAAGGAAAGCCAGTAAACTATTTAGTGAATTTTTAAGTGGAGGGAAATATTTTAACATCAGTGGGAATGAATTAAAAGAGTGTAATTCATGTGATACAAATAACATTTGCCTGGAAAGACTCATGGGACAATTAGATTTTAAATTAAAAGCATCCTCCACATCATCATTAAATTCCATCGAAAGTAGCATTTTATATTGTAATAACAGAACAGAAGAGTGGTTAAAGAAGAAGGATATAAGTGAACAACAAGAGATAATAGATCAGGCTCGTTCAGAAAATAGAACTTTTATGCTAAAAGACAGAGAGAAAAATGAAGAACTTTTTAGAAAACAAACAAAGATTTTAGAAGAAAAAGAAAAAGAAGCTAGAAGGAAGAAGGAAAAAAAATCAACTGAGTTAGATAGAGCAATAGAGGACATGAGAAAAGTTGGGCTTTGGGAGAGTGAAGGGAAGATTAGAGAAGAAATAGAGAAGCTGAAGACAAAAAAGGAGAAAGTAGAGACATTAAAGAAACAAATCAACATTTACAAAAAAGTTTTTAAAATTGAAAAAAAACAGAAGGAGTTGCTGCAGTTTTCTTCAAAAGGAAAGGTCTTTGATCATAACAAATTACTGGATAATCTTTTAAAATTAATAGAATTGAGAAGAAATGCGCAAGAAACCAGAATCCATCCCGATGACTTAGTAGGTAAAGAAATTGTGCATACCTGGACTATAGAGAGTGGCGAAAACCAAGATTGGGAGGGCCAGATAAGGAGTTTTGAAAATGGAGTTTACAAAGTAATTGAATATGAGATTTTTACACTGTTTCACAGAATGCATTAATTGTGCATGGCACTTAATATCATAACAAATTTTGTAAAACATCCTCTAAATAAATTTACAAGAGGCCCAAGGGCCTTAATGGTCACCTGAGAACAATACAACAATGTAAAGGATCCATAGAAGAAAGAGTAAAATACAACCCAGGGCAGAGAAGAAGATTTTCAAAGAAATAATGCATTTTCAGTATATGATGAGTACCTACAGCTCCACCCTTACTACAAAATCCCTGACCCTGGGGCCATGAATTTTGATAAAGGGCTCAGTAATTAATACAATCGTGCCGAAAGTTTGACTGCTTATTGTCCAAACGTAAAGAAGAAGATTTTTTTTAAAATTGCATTAATTTTGATGGTTTTGGTCCCAGGCTCCTGGGGGACAGGGACCATGAAATTCACAATTTTGTTCCCCTTTACCCATACATGCTATATTCCAAAATTGGTCGATATTGGTTCTGTTGTTCTAGAGAAGAAGTTGAAGATATTCAAATGTTCACAGACGAGATGCAAGACAACGGACGAAAACAGATAGAAATATAGAGTGATTTAGGTGACTTAAGAATGAAAAGTTTTATTTCAAAGAAAATCCAGATTTTAAGAAAAAATCTATTAGCGGTACCTGACAATAGT